CTCCCTCTTCCTTCAATTTCCGTTTTTCCCCACCCTGGCAACTTTAAGGTGGGGCGCCTTAAATCCCCCAACTCCCCCCCGCCAGCACACCGGGCTGGGGAATTCTGGGAGTTGAAGTCCACCCATCTTCAAGCTGCCAAGGTTGAGAAACACTGATCTAGCAGGCACTGGGCACCTGCTATGACAAAAGAGGGGAATAATGATCTGACTGGGGTTAGAGCTGGAAGTTTGTTATCTCACAGCTCGCAAGAGTAAACAGGAAGAGTGAACTTGTCTAAACAGCCTCTCTTCCAGGTGTTAACTGAAAGATGCAGGTCAGCCAAGGACAGAATCCATTCCAAAAATTGCACTGTATTTCATGTAAGGATACAGCCTTGACCACATTCCTTCCCAACCATCTGCACGCCAAGAAATAAAGTCGCCATCTCTAGTTACTTAAACTAAAACATAAGCAAGCTATAACTGTTATGTAAATACAGCATAAAAGTCTAGAGAAGAAATGAGATTTCCAATCAAGAACTATTATACTCACTGCTGTACAAAAGCCATCCAAGACACTGTAGGAGAATTGTGTTTGTCTATGGCAGCAAAAAAATCAGGAGGAGTCTGGTTGCACCTTTTCCAACTAACAAATATTATTAATCGGCATCGGGTTTCGTAAGCTACATCTGCATCTGATGAAGAGAGCATACGCCTTTTAATAGAACGTATCATTATCCGAAAAGGTACCACCAGGCTTGCCACCAGACTCCTTCGGAAGTCATCCAAGTAACACCTTTTGATACATCAATATATGCAAAAAGAGATTGGTTCACGTATGTGCATTTGTTACTTGGTAACTTACAAATCAGCTGATCACATAAAAGAAACAAATTCTAAACCTCCACAGGTAGTCCTTGTTTAGCGACCCCAAATGGGACTGGCAACTTGGTCATTAAGTGAAGCGGTTGCTAAGTGAAACTGCAACTCTGCTTATGATCTATCTCAGCTTTCCTTTGTTTTACAGACCTGCGAAGGTTGTCATTGTGAGAACTGGGGGCAAAGTTACTTTTTCATCATGGTCATAACTGCGAACAGTTGCTAAATGAGGACTACCTGTTCATCTAATCTAAAAGGCAGGGTTTTTTTTTTAATAAAGTCAGTTCACACACCCAACCCTTTATCATCAATAACAGGTGTCTGAGTGATATTCAAGCATATGCATATGATCATCTATCTGAATGAAGGTAAACAGACACATTTGGCTTTGTGCGCTGTTATGATCTCCTACCACACCTGCTAAATCTTTTGCAAGAAATATCTGACAATCAAACCTGCATTTTCCCCATTTACCTGGTCTGTTTGTAGATTCAGAATCTTTGGGTAGCCTCCAAATTCTCATAAACTGAGGCTTCTTGATTTCTGAGTCAAACAAAAATTGCCCAAAAGTGTAGATACCAAAAGAAAAAAAAAGGAAAAGAAAGAAAAGAAAAAAGAAACCAAAGAAAACCTACCACACTACATAAAATTTACTACACGTCTAAGAGTAAAACGCAGAGAAGAGATATTTGAAAAAATGATGATCCAAAGCAGACATTTGACTGTTTTCCCATAACACAGGAAAATGGACCATCAACAGAGAATACTAGATATTATATATTTTTGGATCTCATGATTCATTGTCCAGCTATGAGCCACATATTTACTACCTGGCCAGTCATTTTCTCACATTACAAAACTGAGCATTTTTTGCCCAGGCATCACATGCTGACCACTCCAGAACAGTCAACACCACATCACAAAACAAGAGGAACTTATATTGATACTTCTGGTTATGAATTTCAGCCCCTTGACCCACTCACTATCCAGACAGCTCAACCAGGAGGCTGCATCAGAAGACAAGGGTCAGAATATTGCCCTCCTGCCAGCTCCTTAATCTGCATGACTCGGGGGGGGGGGGGGGGGGGAGGGCAGCGGCAGTTATGGCATGTCTGCAATTCCTTAAATCAATCTTTGCTTAGCAGGATTTGTGTTTTCACCCAATTCATGTAAACTAGTGAATCTCCCCCATTGGTGGCCCTTTTCAACTGCTATCAGTGATGTTGCAGATCTAATAACAACTGCCACCAGAACAACTGTGAATAATTCCAGAATGTCCAGGTCATATGGCAGAGTCTGAACATTTTGGAACCTGACATTGAAGAAACTGAGATCTCTCTCTCTCTCGCCAGCCAGCCAGCCAGCCAGTCAGCCATCTCAGGAAGTTTTGCTTAAAATCTCACATTATTTCTCAGTTCGTCAAACATGCAATATTTTTTTCTGCAGGAAGCTAAAAGTGCAACTCGCAGAGGCACAAATATTCACGTGCATATATATCATACAAGTATGCAGGGGTGAATAACATTTTTATCAGTGGAAAGCGACAACAGGAGTGTTCTGCTGGGGGCTACTGTCAATGGTGGACAGCTGCAGAACCCTGAGTATGTATGGTCACTTGGTTTGTTTTCTAGGGCTTCCTCTCCTTCAGAACATTAGCCTGGGACCCATGAATCTTGCTAGGGGTCTGAATTATTAACTTGTAAAGGACACTAGAAATTTGGTCAGAAGTCACATGAAATCTAGCTAAAGACTGCAGGTTGCCCACCCCTGACTGAATGGGAAAGTAGAACTCATTTTCATTTTTTTTTTTTAATTTAGAAAATTGATATGCTGCCCATTCCTGTAACAGTCAGGAGAGCTTAAGGTACAGAAGGAACAACCTTAAAAACTATCATAAAATACAAGTGCTAAAAATATTAAAAGATCTGGAAAAATAAACATATTTTGAATCTCTCCCTAAGCTGTAATTAGGAGAGTATTCGCTTCAATTTCAGTGGCAATTTATTCTATTATTTTTTAATATTTTTACTTGGTATGCACTTATTTCTAATATATAAGACTCACTTTCTCCCAACCTAACTCACTTTTAAACCAACCTAACTCATAGGGTTGTTGCTAGCTATGAGTTAGGTTGGTTTAAAACAAGATGCTTGTCCAAAGTCCCCCAGTGAGCTTCCATGGCTGTAGCCTTGTTAACCAAATTCGCCACAGGCTGTTGTTCTTTATTATTTTTTTATTCCTTTTTTTGAATCATGACTGTATTTTGTCTGGTTTTATTGGATACCACCCAGAGTCAGTTTGGAGTTGGGCAGTACCTGACCTGAATAAATTAAATTAAACCTGGATCTCTCTACTCCTAATTCAACAGGCTAACTCCTGCACTACATTGGCTTTCCAAGGTAATTAGCTTTCCTTGCCATAAATTTTTATATCACTCTGTCCCCAAATTTTCCCCAAAAGAACAACCCTGTGCTGTAGACTGGGCTAGAGGGAATGACTGGCCCAAGGTTCCCCAGGAAGTTTCCATGGCTGGAGGGGGACTAAAACTTGTGTGTCCCCACTCCTAGTCCAGCATCTTCCCTTGTGACCACGCTGGCCTTTATGGAATTATAAGAATTGGAATTGTTTTCTTCATTACAAGGGTAATGTACAATGCAGACATGATGCAACATTTCCAACAAAAACAATAAATTACACTTCAGACCAACAAGCATATTTTATCAGTGCTTTTCTGGGTTGGCTTTTTTGTAATCCTATAAGGAACCACCCATGAGATAAAATGTTAAAATATTACAGCATTTCCTTGTTTACTCTGAAGCAAAGTGGTTTGTTTTTTTAAAAAAATAATTTTAAATTATTCACAGCAGGACAGGAAATGAAACTTTAGTACAAGCTGCACTAGCACACGTGTGCAAATACAGGCAAAACAAGATCATTAAGGGCAAAATGTTTCACACATTAACTACAAAGATTTTGGGAGATATCTTTCACTTCTCAAAGCTATCCTTAAATGCCACTGCACAACAACTTAAGTTGCCACAACAACTTAAATGCCAAAGTGGGATCCTCAAGCTCTTTCTGGTAGTTTTGGTTAACAACTAGTACTGCTGAAACAACAAAAAAGTTTTACTGACCCCTAAAAATATATAATATGCTGGAGAAGTTTTCAAGGAGAGGCAACTTCCACAGAGGCACTCAATCAATTGATTTATATAGAAAATTGTAGACTAACTGTAAACAGTGAGATCAAAAGAGAGTGAAAAGCAAGTGGGAGAAGATGTTCTAAGAATTTTTGTAGATATGTATATGAGAGTAAAATTTCTGTGAAAACATTAATTGTATGTAAAATACAAAAAGTGACCAGTACCACACTAATACCTACAAATTGTCTTTTACAAGTTGTGTAGTCAATCTATTTTGTGATGGCTGGTGTGGGTCTTCCGGGCTGTGTGGCCGTGTTCTGGAAGTTTTGTTTCCAGAACAAAACT